TGCTGGGCTCTGACGATCCTTCCGCCTCAGCCTTCCAAGTAGCTGGAACTACAGGCACGCTACCACGCCCGGCTAATTTTTGATTTATTATAGAGATGAGGTCTCGCCTAGTTGCCCAGGTGGGTCTCGAACCCTCGGGCTCAGGCAGTCCACTCACCTCGGCCTCCTAAAGCGCTGGGATTACAGACTGAGCCACTGAGGCTGGCCAAGCTAGTATCTTGATATTCTGGTTGCCCCTCAAGTGTCTCTTAAAATCAACCATTATGCCATATGCTTATTTGTTGTGTTTTTTATTTTGTGATTTGTCTGTTCATGTTGATTTCCTTTTAATTTTGGGAGATTTTTACTGTATTAACTCTTTTCATACTTGACTCTTGTTTTCTGACTTAATGTAGTATTTTTCATTGTATAGAAGTTGGTTTTTGTTGCAACTGAATTTATAAAACTTTTCCTTTGCTGTTTTCCTACATTGCATCAAAATAAGAAAGAGCTAACAAATATAGAATTATATTTTTAGCTTTTTAAAATTATATTTTACAATATTTTTCAAAGTTAGTGAACAAGGCATGTACATTTTAGAAATTTTGGAATATACACAAAGTTTTAAATAATGAAAACATTCATTATTCTACCATTTTAAGTGTCTTTTTTCCAGTATTTTCTCCTTCTTACATGTATTTTTTCTGAATTTTAATGTATTTACAGTTTTGTAATCTACTTTTATTTTCTAAAAGTATACTGATTGAATTTTCACGTATCAGTAAATCTCTTTGAAAATAAATAATTTTTTGAAAATCTATCTGGAGTTTATTTTGGGATGAACCCAATTGCTCTCTGTTTATCCCTAAACCAGAGATTAAACAATCCCCACTTCCCAGGTTGGTCCACGATACCTATTTTGTCTTTCTAGACATTTTTTTCTGGCATTGGTCTGTTTCTAGGCTCTCTGTTCTGCTCACAGACCCAGAGCATTGCACTGTAATAGGCTCTTCTCTTTTCTGAGCCCTCAGGGCTTCCTGGGTTGAGTCACAGGCCAGGCCTGTGGTAACACCTATCTGTTAATGTTTAACCCTGCCTATGCTGGAAAGCAGCTCTCATTTCTCTCTCTGTCTCTCTTTCTTTCTCTCCCTTTGCAGATGCTTTTTGATCATCCTGAGAAAAATGAGCCTTGGCCTCCAGACAAGCGAACTTCCTCCCTCCCATGGAAAATAGTGCTAGTTTCTGAGGACCTGGAGGGTCTGCGGCCCCAAGATTAGCCAGAAGCAGGTAAGGACCATCTCGAGGCATGGGCTAGCAAAAGGGTACATTTAGGAATAAAATTTGCAGCCCAGTGTGGTGGCTCATGCCTGTAATCTCAGCATTTTGGGAGGCTGAGGCAGGAGGGTCACCTGAAGTCAGGAGATCAAAACCAGCCTGAGCAACAGAGTGAGACTCTTATCTTGTCTGGAGCTTATGAAGTCTGCTCTTATTATCTCACAGGATTATAGTGGGACTTTAAAACCTGATTAATGTGAAAGGGGTCTCAGAGTGGTAACACAGTGCTCCCCGGGGATGGCAGACTAAAACCTGATTAATGTGAAAGGGGTCTCAGAGTGGTAACACAGTGCTCCCCGGGGATGGCAGACGCAGGGCTGATGGTGGAGGTCGCTTGTATGTGATCGTCAGGCAGATCCAGTTGCTTCTCTAGGGACCCTGATTATGAGTCCTGTTTTGTCAAGACTGATTTTCAACAGCCTCTTATCACAGATGCCTTTTAGTGGGGAGATCGTGAACTTTTAGAGTCAGACAAACCTGTGTGGGAATTCTGGTTCTAGCACTGTTTAGCTATAGACCTTAGAGAAATCCTGTGACCTTGCTAAGCCCCAGTTTCTTCATTTCTAAAACAGGGTTGTCAATATCTATACCATAGGGTTATGGTAGAGATTTAATGAGATATTGCAGGTAAAGTACCAACCAAGTAGTAGCACTCCTTCAATGCTACTTTCCTTCTCTAGTTCTTTCCTCAGCGGCCATATGGTCATGCCATAGCTGTGTTAGGTGTCTGGAAATTGAATTCCTTCGTTTTCTGATAATACAATACATCTCCCACCTCCTGTTCGTGATCATATGTCTGAATTCTTCTTCCTCTGTGTATATTACATCACTTCCAAAATTTCAGCAATCAAGATAGTAGCTCATTATCCCCAGAGTCACTGGTTCCTAAGGTCTGGCATAGTAGGAAGTTACTACTTTGGTTGGTACTGCCAGTGTATTCCAAGAATAGCGTGGATATCCATTTATGAAAGAGACTCAGAAGAAGAGCATGCTGCTCAGGCTGATGAGCCATGACCAAGGCTCTACTCTGCCACCTTCCACAGTCCCACATTACCTTCACATGACCCTTGTCCTGAGGGACTGCTTTACTGTCTTTGTTCATTATCCCTCCTGTGCCATTTTGCTTACCAAGTTCAAAGCTAATTGACACCATCCCCTTGTTTGGTCCTCCAAACACTTGTGAATCAGATAGAGCAGAGATAATTATCCTACAAAAACTTAGGAGCAGAAATTTTAAGTGATCTGCCCAAGATCACCAAGAATAAGGATAAGAACCCAGGTTTCGTGTACACCTAGTCCAGAACTCCAACTGCCTTATCCCCGCTATCCTTAGGAGTGGCTCCATCGGAAAGGACTTCATACCCCTGGTGGATTTGCAAAACCCCAGAGCAATTGTTTTGATTCGTTGTAGAAAATAAACCTAGTGATTGAGGAAAGAATGTAACATTTTCCAAAAGATACAGACATTGTTTGAGTTCAAAGTGCCTTCGGTTTCCATTCTGTTGCACAATAAACCGAGAAACTTTCTAAGAAAACAAAGTATTTACCCAGATATAAAAGGGACCATTGAATCTCTATTTGTTTAGTGAAATCCATTCTCCAGAACTTTTCAGCGGTTCTGTGCATGGTGTAGTGAAAAGGACAAGGACTGTGGAATCAAGTGCCTCAGTGCAACTATTTCCTCAGTTCTATGATCTTGGGCATTTCCCTTCACCTCTGAGAGCCTGAGTTGCTATCAAAATGGAGGTTATAGCAACTTCATGGCTAGTGATGGTCAGGGCTTCTCTGCACAGCTCAGGTCATGTACTTCATATTAGATTATAATATGCATGGTGCCCCTGGAGTTGTGCCTCACGGTGGCTCTTGTTATGGTGAAATTAAATGAAGGAGCATCTTGTGTGGTTGATGAATTTTTGTTTTCATTTCTTTACTGGGCTACATTTCTGCTATCTTACCAGGATTTCCTATCCTCTATCATGAGGCGAGTCAGCTTCCTGTCTCAATAGTGCTCTTCTTGAAAGACACTGCACAAAATTGAATATTGTGTTGTGAAGTTCATCCTTGATCTTCTCATGAAGGAGTTTAACATCACAGCCCTTAGAGAGATGCATCACAAATATTTGGCATCCTCTATAGTGAGAAGTCTTTTTCTGGCTATTTTAGAAGGAGGCTGAGCCACTTAGGATTTTAGAGCATTTGGGTTCTATGATGTAGACCAGTCTGCCTACTCTTCCTTTTTATTCTATTTTTTTCAAGAATACGTGTCTTCATTTAATAGATGGTGCAAGGCTCTAGGAACCAAGCAATTTGCAAGATGTAGTTTCTGACTTAAAAACCTCAGAGTACAGTCAGAGAGATAGACCAAGGCAACCCCAAACTAAGATTCAGGGCATACAAAGTAACGGTGGAAGGACTATTAAGTGTTCATGGTTCAGAGAGGAAAAAGGAAGAGTCTGAGGGAATGCCCTCTACTTCCAAAACCCAAAATGAGGCTGAATTTTGTTGAGAGTTGCTTAAGATTGTGTGGCTGGTGGGAGGTAGACCAGGGCTGGAATTCAAGTCCCCTCACTCAAAATCCATGACTCAGCCTATTGCCCCACCTCATGCCACTTTGGGATTTTCTTTACATCATTTTTTTCCCTTGTCACACTTTTTTAAGGCTTGTTTTTCTGCTCAGACTGAAGTGGCTTCCCTGAACACATCTTCATTATGATTCACACCAACCTGAAGAAGAAATTCAGCTGCTGTGTCCTGGCCTTTCTCCTGTTTGCCATCATCTGTGTGTGGAAGGAAAAGAAGAAAGGGAGTTACTATGAGTCCCTTAAGTTGCAAACCAAGGAATTCCAGGTGTTGAAGAGTCTGGGGAAACAGGCCTTGGGGTCTGATTCCCAGTCTGCATCCTCAAGCAGCACCCAGGACCCTCACAGGGGCAGCCAGGTCCTCAGCAGTCCCAAGGGTCCCGCCAAGGCCAAACCAGAGTTCTCCTTCCAAGTGTGGAACAAGGACAGCTCTTCAAAAAACCTTATCCCCAGGCTGCAAAAGATCTGGAAAAATTATCTAAATATGAACAAGTACAAAGTGTCCTACAAGGGGCCAGGGCCAGGTATCAAGTTCAGTGCAGAGGCTCTGCGTTGCCACCTCAGGGACCACGTGAACGTGTCTATGGTAGAGGCCACAGATTTTCCCTTCAATACCTCTGAATGGGCGGGTTACCTGCCCAAAGAGAACATTAGGACCAAGGCTGGACCTTGGGGCAGGTGTGCTGTTGTCTCGTCAGCAGGATCTCTGAAGTCTTCCCAACTGGGTCGAGAAATAGGTATGTTCTAAAGCATTAAGGGTTAAGATTGTTCTCTGAATAGTCAGTGCTCATTGGGACTGACTGGGCATTTGATGGAACTTGAGATGAGTGGCCCAGATGTGACTTGGTGGACCAGTGGAGTGGGCCCAGGACAGGGTCTTTCTCAGGTGCCACAGGAGCAGCTGAACAATTGGAAATCCAGGCTCCTGGCCTCTTTTTCAATTAGAATAACTATATATTTTTTCTTTTTTTAGTTGACATGTAGTAATTGTCCATATTTATGGGGTACAGAGTGATGTTTTGATACATGCATTCAATGTGTAATGATCAAACGAGGGTAATTAGGATATTCATCACTTCAGACATTTATTGTTTCTCTGTATTGGGAACAGAATAGTTTTATTTTTATATGTTTTAAATATTGGTGTTCTAGGGAAGATTTCATTTGAAAAGAGAGTTCCACTGGTACCAAAAAGTAAACATGTACAATTGACCTTTGAGGTTGCTTGAAGCACAGATCTCTACTTCATTTTCAGGTTCTGAAATGCTGTTATTTTACCCAATTAATGGAGAACCCTTTTTGCCTCCACTACCTGAGTAATTTTCAGCTTTTCTCTTTGAAAAGAATGAGTTAGGACAGGAATTCTTAACTTGAGAACTGTGAACCAACTTTAGGGTGTTTCGACTTTCTAAAATTGCTTGTAAAAATATATTTGGGCTAGGTATGTATAATGTAGGTATAAGTGTGTCTGTGCATTTTTCCAGAGAGGGAGTTCATACGTTGCAGTTGATTTTCAGAGGGATTTGTGACCTGAAAAAGGTTTAAGAGTCACTGATCAAAATATATTAATCTGCTTTTCTTGAAACCCTTCAAGATAGAAAGGCTATCCATATTTGAAAGCCCATATAACAGAGAGCTATGGATTTACTTAAGGCCCCTTATTTCCCTTATTTTGAGAGAATGTGTTTTCCATTATCATGAAATGAATCAGCTAAAGAAAGCAAAACACAGGAAACCTTGCTCTTTGGTCAGGCTGGAGGTATTGGAGCAGGTGAGGTCATATGTCTCCTTTTTTTATTTCCTTCATATGACTGCCAGGAAAAATGGTCTGAAACCAAGCACGAGCTCTCAAAGAAGAAAAGTAGGCTCAAATTAGATTCTCTAGAGCAGAAAGAAGTGGTGAGATCACAGTTTCTACCTTCGCAAATAGACAGTCCTTTCTAATAAAAGCTGCCAAGATGGCTAACCCCACCCCAACGTTTGCTTTTACCTCTTTGATTTCTTTTTGACTTTGTTTTCTGGAAACTAAATATAACTGGTTTCTGTTCATCCATAATGGAACTAAATTTCTTTCTCTTCCAAATTTTCTGCAGAAAGGTAATGTTTAGGATATCCCAGGTGTTAGCTGATCCTTCTTCTTCATGTCAAATTATCATTGTGTGCCTGGTTGAAATTGTGTTGAAATTTGAGTCAGGGCCTGATACCTCAGTGAATTGGAAATACAGTGTTATTGTTATGCACTCCTTAAAAGTTTGGAGTGATTTAAGTAAACATGGATAGAAATAATACTTTTCTGTACACTGCAGTTACAACTTCAAATAAATATTTCTGTGGAAGAATTTGATCTTGAGGTACAATAAAAAATTGCATGGTAGACTTCAAATGTTCTGTCTTTTATAGTGTATATTCTCTGGGCATTTAGTCTAACAGATATTCTGAGACATTCATTCATTTATTCTTTTATTCATTCATGGGTTCATCAGCAATACAAAATAGGAGCCTAGAATACAAAGGGAAAGGGAAGGGGAAGGCCATTTGTGGGAGCCCCAGGGTTCCAGGCAGCATGCCAGGTCTGTAGAATTCCCATTGGATCCGGAATGTGTTGAGCCTGTTCCCAAATATGGAACACATCAGATGATTTCAAGTTGTTTGCTCCTACAAATAGTACTGCGAACAGGGTTTTTGTACAGATAATTTAAGCAACTACTACTGCCCTTAAGTGGGGCAAATATTCTCCCAAATGGGGCTAGAAGACCCAAATAAGAGAAATTTTGTGACTGTTTTTTATGTCCCTTGCAAGATTGTTTATCAGAGACAGTGTAGTAATATACTATGCCTCCAGCAGTCCCACAAACCAGACGTTGGTGGGCTCAGTAATTTTCAATTTTTTTGATAGTTTACTTATGCATGATAAGTATTTTAGATTTGTTAAAATTTTCATTTCAAGCAATAGCATATTTTCAAAACACTATCACCAATAGGAGTGATGCCTATTATGCACTTACTGTGTGCCTAACCTGCCTTGCTCTTTTAACCCTCCCAGTAGTCCTGTGAGATTGGCAAGATTACTGGTTTCATTTTGCTGATGGAGCTAACTGTGGAGGCTCAAGAGGTTACATAACTGGTTAGTAGCAGACTGGGGTTTTAAAGCAGTTCATCTGTCTCAGACCCTCACTTCTGCTCTTGTGCCACATAATGATTGTGACTTCATGATAAAATCTGGTATGAGTAAACTTTTGTCAGGTTAAAAAAAAAATCCCTTGGTAGTCTTCCCTGTGTAGCTATCTATGCAGCTGGATATTTGATTCTGGAGAAGGATTGGGTCTGGAGATGAGATTGAGGCGTCATTTGTATTAAGGTGACGTGATGGTTGTAATCCAGAGAAGAGGGCCAATTAAAAAACTTAGAAAAATGTTTACATTTAAAAGTCAAGGAAAGAACAGGGACAAGAAGAAAAATTTAGAAGGACTAGAGAGAGAGACTGTTGTGTACCATACAGTGGAAGCAAAGGAGAGTAGAGTTGGGGGATAGTGCCTGTTGGCATCAGAGCTTGCAGAGGTGAGACACATTCTCGGGCAAAATATAGACTGAGAAAGCACCCTTGGACTGAGTAGCTTGAAAACCATGATCGTTTATACTGGGGTAAGCAAACATTTCTTGCAAAGGGCCAGATAGTCAATATTTTTGGCACCGAGGGCCATATAGTGTCTGTCACAACTTCTCATTTGTGCTGTTGTAGTACAAAAGCAACCATAGACTAATAAATGAATGGGCCTGACCATGTGCCAATAATATTTTATTTACAAAATGAGGGATGCACCAGGTTTGGCTGCAGGCCAGTTTTCTAACCCTGTTCTGTAGTATATCTATTTGTCCCAACCAGAATCAGAATGTAGACTTCCATAAATGATTATAGGATTTATTAAACTGTCTTGAAAAATATAAAAATGTTTGGTGATGAATTGTGATAAAATTTCTTTCGTTATAATTTCTAGCTCTTTAGAGTTAACCATAACCCAGAGGCAGTGGATTTTGATGTGTTTATGAATTTACTAGCTTGAGCTGCTGCTGTTGAATTTTCTAGGCATGTAATTGTATCATCTGCATATAGTGATGCATTTATTTCTTCCTTTTCTAATTTGCATCTTTTTCTGAGCTCTAGTTCTAAGCAAAAAGATGTATGGCCCCTGCAACCTTCCCCCTTGTCAGTCTTGTTTGCTGGGATCTTGGTAGTTGTGGATTTCTCTTGGTGATTTCCTAGAGATCTATTTGAACTGGAAGCTTCTTTGACTTTCAGTTAGCAAGGGATGATTTGACAGAAATGATCCTATCCCCTTTATGTGCCCAAGTAAGAGCCTTGTTTTAAATTTTTCTTCTTTTTAAGAAATTGATACAAAATAATTATAAATATTTATGGGGTACATGTGATATTTAATACTTGCATCCAATTTGTGATGTTCAAATCAGAATAATTAGGATGTTCATTGCCTCAAGAAAGTATATATGTGTATATATATATATAATATATTTGTATATATATCCAAATTCAAACTTTATACCCACATCTCTGTAGTCCTGCATGATCTGTTCCTACCAACCTTTTTTAAACTGCATCTTTTTCTTCCCCTCACTTGTCTGCAGCCTAGTCCTTACCCTCATTGGGGTTTTGACACTTGCTGCATCCTCTAGCTGGAATGGAATTCAATGGGCCCTTCTCATGCCTGGGTGCCAGCTCTGAGGCATTACCTGAATCATCACTCTACCGAAGGGAGATTTCCTCAGAGTCTGTCATACAATTCGATGTATTTGTGCCATAGTATTAGTTACAATCTGTAATTATATTATATATAGGCTCTTGTACTTATTTATTGTCCTTCTCTGTGCAGTAGAATATTAAGATCCCTATGGGCGAGCACCTTGTCTTTCTTGCTCACAACCCTTGTCTCCAGTGCCTAGAACTGTGCCTAGCAGAGTAGGTGCTCAGTGTTTGTTGAATGAGCAAAATGATTCGCCATTCTTATGGTCACTATCAAGGACCTATCCTAAGCCATCTGTGCTGGATGTTCTCCATTTGCCCCTCCAAATCTACCCTCTATCCTTTTCCATCTGACTCTGTTCCTTGAGAAACTGAAATCTTTGGCTGGGTCATCTGGTATTCCTTGCCCTCTGGCTTTATTTGGGACAGATCAGGAGAAGCACTGGCATAGAGCTGAGAGGGAGAGTGAGATTGGGCACCTGTTTTCCCAGGTATCCCCCTGCAGAGTAACCTCAAACTGTGTTTTTCCTTTGACTGAAGGTCTCAGCCCCTGTCACATGGCCTTCTTGGACTTGGACCTACTCTCTCCCTTTTACCTTCAGACCTATGAGATCCAAAGAAAGAAGGGGAAAGAGGTTGGGATCTTGATTTCCTCTGCCTACTTCTTACTGGCTGAACATTGGCAGCAGCTGTGCTTGTCTCCTAAAGGCCACAGCTCCTGACAGGTGGCTCTCCTCAGCTCAGGGTGTCTATTCCTCTTGCTATAGTAGATCTGGGGGTAGTAATGACTCCCTTCAGTAGCAACCCTGGGGTATTAGTCTATTTCATGTTGATTTCCTTAAACTGTACCCACACCTTTGTAAATAGTCCTTTTATGAGACTCTCAATTACTCCATTTGAGCTTTGCATCTCTTTTCTGCTAGGATTCTTACCAATAATGTATTCATCTGTGAAATGGGAAGGTTGACTAAGTAAAGTTTGTGATGAATCTGCATTTCTCACATAATTACCACTGATTACTTTTAAAACAAGTGACTGATTCTGTTGTGGGGTGGCTGAAGACCCATTGGTGGTGATCAGGTTCTTGGTGTCACATACAAAGAATTGGACGAGACACCAAGAGCCTGAAAGAGAGCAAAAGCAAAAAGTAGTTTATTTAGCAAAGGTGACAGGCGACAGTACACTCCTAAGAAAAGACAGGAATGGGCTCAAGCTGAAGAGACACTCAAGAGTTGTCGTGTCAAACAAAACTGGGTCCTTTTATATTTTTTTTGGTGGGAAGGTGGACTCTGATTTTTACAAAGCTTGCAAAAAGAAAACATTTTAACTAATGTTTCTGGGGTCAAATGTACTTCCTGGGGATGGGGTAATATTTCAGGTTATTGCACATGTGTCTGCCTGCCATCCTATAATTTCAACCGTATGTGTGAGATGCAGTTCATATGTACTAGCCTTAACTAGCTCTTTTGCATAGATGGGGTATAGAGAGTTCCAGGAGGTCCCTTGTGCATATATGCCAGACCAGGGATATCTCCTTTATAGGTTTTATGGTTCTTCTTATCTTGTTTCAGGAGGGGATGTTGCTTATGTTCCATCCTGAGAGGTTGATTCATGTTTCAGTTTTGGGAGGGAATATTGCCTATGTTTTGTCATTGGGGGTTGATTAATATTTCTGTTTCATGACTTCTTTCCTGTTTCCACAGCTTCTTGTCTGTTGAGATTCACCTCTCATGCTCCACCCTATCTCCTGCCTCAATTCTGATGGAAATTGTTGCAATTCTGTGTTGTGTAAAGATTTACTAAGTGCAGTTCAGTATATCTGCTCTGTAAGCTGATAAAAGTTTGAACTATGCACATCTCATGGAAAAAACCATTCTGATGAAATCTTGCCCTAGGGCTGAGGGCAGGGTTATGTTGTTTTTATGAATGAGGTTTCTAGATTCCTGAGGTTTAGTACATATATTGGAATTGTAAGAAAGAGGCAGGCTTTCATCCTTTAACTCTGTGGGCATCTTCTTTCTAAATCATCTTGTATGGAGTTAGAGGTCCTTACTGTCTCCCAATCCTATTTCTATGACCCAAAATAAACCAACTTGGAGGGAAATAGAACAAGAAAGGATTGAGCTGACCTTCAGCTCTGGTGTGGATTTCAGTAGTGAACCCTAAGCTTGCTTGATCAAGTAAGGTTGGGATGAGCACTCATAGGATTATAGGGCTGGAATGGCTCTTAAAAGTCTTCAGTTTTCTTTCCCATCAGATTAGTCAATGTTGGGTAGAGAAATGTTTCCAAGTCTCAAATAACTTCAAGGGCAAGAAGCTAGAGCCCAGGAAATAATTAGGTTTTCTTGAGATGATCTGTTTGATCTCAACTGGATTTAGTGTATTCTTTCCGATAATGTGCTTTTTAAAAAAAAAAGAAAAGAAAAAAGGAAACATGGAGTTCAGTTTATCCCTTTGACCTCCTGTTCCATTTCTGCCACACAAGGTTTGTGACCCATCCATGGGCCTCAGGTTTCTAAATGGAACAATTGGAGTTGTCTTGGATGCCATAGCGAATCCATTCCATTTGCTGAGCACTGTGTGCTTTTCAGAGTGCAATGGAGGTACTTTGCACTTGCGGGACTAGACTGAACATGTGGTAGAGATAGAAATATGACATCCTGGTGATACCAAGAGAATATCTGGTGTGCTGCTTTGATAGCTGAAGTAGCAATTCCACTATAAGTAGCACAGTGGCCTTGCTCACTTTTAGGCTGTGCCTAGGCACACTGGTTTCAGGAATGTCACAGTATGGACCACTTAACTCTTGCAGTGTCTGGCAGACAGGCGGCCATTTCTGTCTATGAGCTTTACCTGAGCACCATACAACATTGTAATTTCCCCCTGTGTATTATGATGGGATAAAGATTGGGAACCATTATTCCCTTGCCTCCTCTTATTCCTCCAGCTTTCACTCCTTCCTGTCTTTCTCTCTTTCTGCATATTGCCAGTGCTCATCACCTCTTCTCTGTTTCTTTGTGGTTTATAGATGATCATGATGCAGTCCTAAGGTTTAATGGGGCACCCACAGCCAACTTCCAACAAGATGTGGGCACAAAAACCACCATCCGCCTGATGAACTCTCAGGTAAAGTTTCTTCTGTGCAGATATGGAGTGAGAGAAGGACCACGGTGTGAGCTCTGAAGAAGAATATATCCACTAGGGGCACATCAAACTGCCAGCTAATTAAGTCCCTTGACCTTGCTGAGTCCCAGATTTTTCTTTTTCTTTTTTTTTTAACTTTTAATTTTTTAATTTTAAAAATATGGGGTACAATGCATGGTTAGGTATATAAATGTTCATTATGCTGGTATCCTTGTTGATGAGGTGTTTCCCTTCTTCCCCAGGCAGATTCCCACTACTGTCAATCCCACTTTCCTGCCCCCCTCCCAGCAGTTTCCAATCCTTTTCTTATAGTATTACGATAATTGTTCAAGGTCCGCTTATGAGTGATAACATGTGATACTCAGTTCTTTGTACAGTACTGTGATACATCACTTAGTATTATAGACTCTAAGGCCATCCAGGTTGCTATGAAGTTCATGATTTTGTTCTTCCTTATGGCTGCATAATATTCTATCATGTATATGTTCTACATTTTTTTAATCCAGTTCTCTTTTGATGGGCAGCATGATTGGTTCCATGTTCTTGCTGCTGTGAACAATGCTGTGATAAACATACATGTACAGGTATCTTTTTTATAGAATGATTTGTTCTTCTGGGTATATTCCCAGTAGGGAGATTGTGGAGTCGTATGGAAGGTCAATTTTTAGATCTTTTAGAAATCACCACACTGTTTTCCATGGAAGCTGTACTAGTTTACACTCCCACCAACAGTGTAGAAGTGTTCCCTTTTCGCTGCTTCCTCTCCAGTATTTCTTTGATGACTAGTGAGGCTGAACATTTTTTTCATGTACCACTTGACTGCTCGTATGTCTTCTTTTGAGGACTGTCTATTCATATCTTTTGCCCACTTTGTAATGGAGTCTCAGATTTTTCATTAGAAAAGAAGACAGTGATTCCTTAACCCAACCTGGTGATATGATTATTAACAAAAGAAAAAAGAAAACAACAGGTGGCTCATGCCTGTAATCCTAGCATTTGAGAGGCTGAGGTCAGGAATTTGAGACCAGCCTAGGTAACACTGTGAGACCATGTCTCTACAAAAAAAACCAAAAAATAGCCAGGTATGATGGCACATGCCTATAGTCCCAGCTACTTGGGAGGTTGAGGTGGAAGGATCACCTGAACCCAGGAGGTCAAGGCTGTGGTGAGCTGTGGTTGTGCCACTGCAATCCAGCCTAGGCAACAGAGTAAGACCTCAATTCAGGGGAAAAGAACAAAACATCAACAACACAAAACACAACATGTGGTATTAGTCTTCATTAATGGTGGTGTCTAGTGTCCACGAAAACAGAGTTCTGCTGTCCCTGTAGGGTTGTACGAGGAACAACAGAACAGAGAACTTCCAGGGGAGACTAAGGAGTGTTGTGAAAGGACAATGAAATAATACATGTGAAAGTGCTTTATAAACTAAAATGCTATACAAGTATGAAGACAGTGTCACCATATAACTATATATTATGACACCAGAATTCATGTATTACTTCATAAATTCCCCTAGATAATTAGTTTTCTGAAGTATTTTCAGGCACCACAGGCTGATTTCTCAATACTAATGGAAACTTGAGAGATATTTTTACCACAGAGTTCTATTAATAGATTTAATTAGTGGGAGCTATATTACACATACAGGGACAGCAAAACTTTGCTTTCCTGGGCACTAGATAAGGCTGCAAACCTATTCATCTTACTCACAACCACTCGTGTTGCCTTTTCCTGAGCAAACATTTTAGCCTTGGGTGTTTTTATGTCAATGTTTAGTGTCTATACACTTCCCTAGGATTTCTGGGCATGGGTTGAATCCTGGGACTGATCAGAATGAGCCTGTTCGGCACTGTTTCAGTAGAATGAGCATTTTTCCTCTCCTCTAGCAGGGCTCCACTTCTCTGTTTGTCTCCCTTTATTTCCTGACTTTCAAGAACTCATCAGCTAGGCAGAAGCTGCTTCCTGCACAGCCTTCTTTTCATCTGAGGACTACAACCTTACAAATTGTTCTTTGATAGGATAGAGATTGAGAAACTTAACTTCTTTGTAAGCAATCACCATCTTGTTTTTTGTTCTTCCTCTAATACCTTTCTCTCTCTCTCTCTCTCTCTCTCTCTCTCTCTGTGTGTGTGTGTGTGTGTGTGTGTGTGTGTGTTTAAGAGATTCACTCTCTGTTACTGTAGCATCTTCCAGTAGCTTCAAGGTGCCTCCAATGCCCGCCTGCTGTTCAGTTTTATATTTGGGGATTTGATATTACTTTTATTATTATTAGAAGAGGGAAGGCTGAAAGAAATGGATTGGTTAGCAAGAGACTCTCTGGAGCAAGTGATGCTTGATCTAGACTGAAAAATTGGGAGAATTTGAAGGAAGAGCAATAGGAAGTCGTTCCGAAAAAGTGAAATTGACAGGACAGAGATGCATAGGAAATAAGAGTGACATTCAAATATCACTGGTTAGGATGGAGGTGTAGGTGTGGAAGGATTTGCCTTGCCCTTTAGGAGATGAGGCTGGGCCCTCATGGCTGCTCATACTTTGGCAACTCTGGAAATTCAAACAGAGAAGTTAGCATTGACTTCATCCCTTTCCCTTCTCATGCCCCAGTCATATAAATCCCAGAGCTGGAGAGCACTTTAAGGAGCACAAACACCTAATCTCTACTTCTGTTTAAAATGCTACTGAAATATTCAGAAAGGCGGGCATGTGGCTAATACTTATAATCCCAGGTCTTTGGGAAGACAAGACAGGAGGATCACTTGAGGCTAGGAGTTTAACACCAGCCTGGGCAACCTAGCTAGATCTTGTTTCTACAGAGAATCAAAAAAATTAGCTGGGCGTCACGATGCACACCCGCAATCCCAGCTATTTGAGAGGCGGAGGAGGGAGGATCGCCTGAGTCCAGGAAGTCAAGGCTGTGGTGAGCCATGATTGTGCCACTGCATTCCAGCCTGGGTGTCAGAGTGAGACTCTGGTTCAAAACAAACAAATCTAGGAGAGATGTTTATTTGCCCTTAATTAATTAATTATTTAATTCAACAAATACATTCAGTATTGAGTAGAGTATGAAGTCAGTACATAGATGACTGCAGTTAACCTGCTTGGGTTAACTAGCTAGGTTCATTTCAAGTCACTTATCTCTAAACAGAGGTGAATAATAGTATTTTTCTTACAAGGTTGTTGTGATATATAAATGAGAAAAATCTATGTAAAGCACTTAGAAGAGTACTTGACACAAATATCAATAAATATTATCTACTCTTACTATTTATATGTGTAGCCACTGGTTGAGGGGTGGGTAGTGGAGGGTACAATGCGGAGCAAAACAGACTCAACCTGTTCTCATGGTACAATCATATAATTATATAAAATAGCATAAAGCTACAATAGAGAACTAAAGAAGAGAGAGTCAAGATCCTTGGAGAACCCATAAAATGGAGATTTGAGCTATTCAGGGAGGTCAGGAAGGCTTTGTGGGAGAAGTAGGGGTAGACAATGAGAAGGATGGGATAAGAAGAGGCAACAGCATAGCTAAGGTCTTATGGGGAAGTAAACAGAGGAGTGGAAGGACTTAGAAACAGGTGGGTGCATATGGGGTGTGTGATCAGAGGCGAGACAGCAAGTAAGAAGAGGGCAACTCAGTGCTGCGCTGAGGAGTTTTCTCTGTGGCATGACCAGATTTGCATTTTGTGAATATCACTGGCTTTCATTTGATCAGAAGGGCTGTAGTAGGTAGAGCAATCCAGTTAGGAGGATCTTGCAGAATCTGGGTTAGTTAAAGAATATACACAAAAAGAATTGAAATGTTTCACTGCAAATACTCAACTAAACCCAAGAGAAGACAGTAATACAGGAAATGAGGGCTACAGAAGCTAAAATACATAAGGAAAACAAATAGCAAAATGACAGAAGTAAGTCCTTCCTTTTCAGCATCACTTTAAAAGTAAGTGGATTAAACTCCCTCATCAAAAGATAGAGATTGATAGAATGGATTATAAAACATGACCCAACTACAGTCATGATAACAACGTTTTGGTCAGTGATGAGCCACATATACAATGGCAGTTATAAAGAGCTGAAAAACTCTTATCATGGCCATTTTAATGGCATAGTGCAACATATTACCTTTTCTAAGTTTACATACACACAAATGTACTTATCATTGTGTTACAATTGCCTACGGTATTTAGTACAAGCTTAGTACAAGTTTGCTGTGCAAGTTTGTAGCTCAGGAGAAATAGGCTATACCACATAGCCTAGGTGTATAATAGGCTATACCATCTAGACTTGTGTAAGTATACTCTATGATGTTTCCATAATGACAAAATAATATAATGATGTATTTTTCATTGTTAAGTAATGTGTAATGGCATATGCTGACCATAAGAAACTTGCATTAGATTCAAAGATACAAATTGAAAGTAAAAGCTTGGAAAAGAATTTTTTATGCAAACTGTAATTTTAAAAACTGCAGGGGTGGCTATACTAATATCAGACAAAAAAAACTTTAAATAAAAAAAGGTTACAAGAAAAAAAGGACACTATATATTAATAAAAGGTTCACTACATCAAAAATAACAATTATAAACACTTTTGTACCTAATAAAAGTATCATCAAAATGTATGAAGCAAAGTCAGCAAAATAAAAGGGAGAAATCGACAGTTCCATGATAATAGTTGGAGATTTCAGTATTTCACTGTCAATAATGGGTAGAAAAGCCATACAGAAGATAAGGAAATAGAGGACTTGAACAACATAATAAACCAACTAGATCTAACAGATGTATATAGAATGTAACTCAACCACAATAGAATATATATTCTTCTCAAGTGTTCATGAGACATTTTCCAGGATAGATCATACAAGGTCTATCCTTAAGTTGTTTCAATAATTTTAAAAGACAGCATTCAAAGCATCTTCTCTGACCACAACACGATGAAGTTAGACATCGATAGCAGAAGGAAAACTGGAAAATTTACAAACT